TTAATGGGAATTGGAGAAGGACCTCTGCAGAAGAGCATCTCCTCAGTGATGCTAGAGTGCTTCCTACTCATCTACAGTGAGTAGAAGAGTGGAAAAAATGATTTCTTGTGATCATTAAAGAGTCCAGAGCCATTTTCTCAAGTGTTAGAGGTGTTAAGGCTGCTGTCTGGCCTTATTCCCAAACGGGTAATTGAATTGCTTTGAACTTCTGCGAGTTCAATTGGACATGGACTTAGCTCGTAGCTGTTTTTATGGGATTATTCTGCTGTGCTCCATCACCTAGAAAGTTAAGTGTTGGGTAAATGATTCTTGCATCAGCGTGGGCTTGGGCTGTGAGAATAGGTGAGAAACCCTTGATGTGTTTTTTCTTTTCTTTATACAGTGCAGGAAAATAAAGGAAGAGGGCACTCTGGCCACATACCCCCACAGGAGATCAGAACAGTCAAACTAGGGGGGAGCCCCACATCCAAAGGGTGAAATTAATTTAAAAAAAAAAAAGAAGTTAAATAAACCTTGGTGGAATGAGAAGGAAGAGCAGTGCTGGTGAGAGCAGCCCCTGAGCAGCCTCCACTCCACAAAATCCCCGTAGAAGGGGAGGAGTGGTGCTGCATTGGGCTGGATATTTTATATCTGCGGGTTTGGGAGGGAAAATAAATTCCTTTTTATTTACCTCCTCAGACTTCTCCCTTCAATCTGATATTCAGGTACCTCAGGTTGCTTTTGGATGAGCCACAAAAGATGAACATGAAGTTTTAATGCTTTGGAACGGTACAATTGGACCATTCTTTGGGGGAATGATTGCTATGTTAGTGTGAGGAATGTAAATAAGTTTGATACTTTAGGCTACTTTTTATATCAGGACCTAAAGAAATTTTGTTTTAAAGGGCAAGATTCAGTTGTTAAAAAATGTGTCACTTTAAGTTTTCAGCTTAATTAGACAGTTGCAGAGGTTTTGCTTGCAAAATTTCAGGGAGAAAAATGCACAGCTGTTCTCCCTTGGTTATCTTTCTTTTTTTGGGTGTCTCCCCAAGCCCATTGTCAGTGGTGAGAGTATTGATAGCAGATAAAGCATGGGATGTAGAGGATATTTTGCTACACAGGCAGCAAAGTTTGCCTACAGCAAAGTTTCTCCACAGTCAGTGTTCTCAGGAAAAGTATTTTCCATCTTGATTTTCTCCTATACCCCCCAATCATTCTGCTTGTCTCTATCTTATTTTATTCCTTGCTACTTTTGCAGTTGATTGTATTTCACGAGGAAAAAGAGGGGGAAGTAAATTCAATTACAGGTAGCCAGAGGAGTGCAGGAGGATAAGAGGCTCTTACTGCAATGTGGGGGGGATGAAGTGGTGGAGAATATCCACTCATTAATGAGGCGAATGAAATTAGGGTGATTCTAAAATGACTGATTTAATTAACTGCTTCGTAAATTGATCTTTAAACAGGGTAAGATTATTAAAATATTTTAAAAAGAGAAAATACCCAAAGTCCTGCTCAAGTAACAGTTCAAAATAATGCTTGCTGTAGTTATTCATTAAAAAGTTGTGGATAGTTGGCAATGTTGGAGCATGTTCAGTAATACCATATTTTGCAATATTTGTTTTGGGGTTTTAATGGAAAATTCCAAGCTCCTGCAGTTGTTTTCAATACATAAAAGTCCCTCAGGAGCATTATTTCTAGATCTCATGGCTGTGTAGAAAAGTACGTGAAGATGGGAACTGGAGTTCCAGATCAAGAAGACCAGTGAGATGTGTCAGTGCAATATATGCTGAGTGTACAAATATAAACAAGGCACTTTGGACATCTCTGTATGGCATTAGTGAGACCAGCAGGGAGATACTCTAATTTTGGTGTTCTTACCTCTTAAGTGTTGAAGAATTACCCAGAAGTTGCCTTAAAAGTGTTGGACGTCTGTAAGAATTCTTTGCATGGACAAACAAGCAGATCATTTGTTTTAGTTTGTTGTTTGTTTTTTTTTCAAGTTGTCCACATTTTTCTAGTGGTTGTGTTAAACACAGTATCATGGTGTTAATTTCACAGTAGGTTTGCTATATTACATTACTTTCTGCAAGGCTTTAAAGTCCACTGATGAACAGGACTCCAGAATACAAGTTGGAAGTCATTGAATATCTTATTCCTGGGGCAGAGGGTGGCCTTGCCCAGCAGCCTTTGCATCCCTGTGAACTGAAATTCCCACACAAGATGTATCAAAGAGGGACAAATTGAGGCCGGAGCTCTTTCCCTCGTACAGCCACGAGCGACGGGAGCTCAACCCCTGCCCCTGCATCTGAGAACTCTGCACTTCATTAGCTGGAATTTTAAAGGACACTTAGGATTCACCAAATCATTATGTGTAATTCACTAAAAGAAATTCATTTGGCTTGGGCACTCAGATCCAGGAGCTGAGCCCTGTCACTTTAGACAAATTAGGAACGACACCCAAATTTTAGAGAGAATTGCTGTCCATGGCCACCAACTGCTGCAAGAGGTGAGGAGGCCCTGGCACAGGGTGCCCAGAGAAGCTGTGGCTGCCCCTGGATCCCTGGAAGTGTCCAAGGCCAGGTTGGACAGGGCTTGGAGCAACCTGGGATACTGGAAGGTGTCCCTGCCCACAGCAGGGAGTGGAACTAAATGATTTTACAGCCTTTTTCAATCCAAACCATTCTGTAATTCCATGATTCTGTGTTTGACATTCTTGAAGCCATCTGGAAAATCTTGCTTTTGTCAAATGGGAGTTTTTTAGTTCACGGGGCTACAAGGACAAAAGTTTGGGTTTCTGTGTCTGTGATAAATGGATGATTAAATAATTTAAAGTATGTTTTAGTATTAAATGTTGAAGAGTCTGTAAAGTAGGAATTTTGAGTGGAGGTTATTCTGGTTGGAGGCTCTGACTCATTAAATTCTCCAATTCAAACAAAGAACTTGAGCACATAAAACTTGCTATTGACAGATAAATGATGCAGGAAGTGGTGACATTAGAAATACAGGTAAGAAATGTCCAAACCAGGTGTTTCCCTGAGGAAGGATGAGCTGGAATATCCAGTGAAAACCACCTCAAGGCTAGATGTTTAAAGAGATTTTCTGTTTGAAAACTGTGCTGCTCGGAACGGTCTGTCATGAGTCAGTCAGTCCGTGTGACATTTCTCCCAAAGCTGGGAGAAGAGGATGGAGCAGCCCTGCCTCTCCCAGCGGCCAAACCTAGAACAGTCCGTTTCCAAATGCTCGCTGTCGAGCTCCGAAAGTCTCAGGCTGGGATGCCACTTCCAAATTGTGGTTGTTACAATTCCAGTCAGTCGCAGGTCGACTGCTGCATTGCCTGCCGTGCCCTCCTGTGGTTCAACAGTCTGGGTGCTTGTCTTGAAAAATTTAAAATGGCCTGGATGTTTCCAGTAATCAGTTTTCTGGAGAACAGCACATTCCCGTTGGGCTGAAGCGCTGATGTGGATGTAGAACGTCTGTCTTCTCACAGAGGCATTTTCTTGGATGGGAGTCATCCCCTTGCATTGTCCTCCTGCTTCCATCTCCCATGAAACAATGGAAGGGGCTGGATGAGGGCAAAGATTGGATTTTCTTCTCATTTCTATATCTCTCAGGCTGCAAGTGCCATTTTCGTGGATTTGTGCATCCTGGCTTTGGCTTTACAGCTCTACTTCAGCTCTACTTCAGCAAGCCAGTTCTGTGTTGTTCTTCAGCCCCAGCTATGGATCTTGAGTCATTCCTTGACTCCTGTTGGGAGCTTCTCTGTGCCAGGGCAGAAATGGACATGAGGAGTCATCCTCAAAATTTGTGGGGAGGAATAGGCAGCCCTGTCCCTGGAAGGTCTCAGCCTGACAGCCATCATCCCTCTCCTGGCTTTCACAGGGTCCTTGGAATTCCTCCTTGACTTTCCCTCAGCTGTGATTTGCTCTGGCTCGCAGGGATTGTACATCAGCTCTGTCACATCTCCCGGAGTCTGAGTGATCTCTTCACCCTGCTCTCCTGCAGGAATGGTAATAAACCCTTGACTCACGAGAAGGATGGAAAATGCCATATTCTGCTTGCCAAGTTCTGCCTGCCCTCCATCTGCCATCCCTTCTCAAGATCTAGAGTTCTGAAGGAGGAGATCTTCTTGTTTGTGTGACATTTGGATCTGTAGCCAGGAGACTTAGGAAAGAAGAGCGATTAAGAGAGCATACTATAATTTTTTTTGGGCTTTGCAGCAAATAATGTTCGTTGTTACGGCACCTTGGGAAGTTTAGGAGTTAAAAATTATTTTGTTGAGCCACCAGGATGGTTGAGTTATCTGAGAAGCCAGTCTTTGGAGGGGAAAAAGCTGAAGACTTATTTCTTTAAATGAAAGCTCAGGAGTAATTGGATGTGCTGCACTTTTCTTGTCAGGGCAGGCAATCTTTGACAACATTCCAGGTTCAAAAGTTCCTAACTTCAGAAATCAAACTTCAGTCAAATCAACTTGGGTCCTACAGGCCACTAGAATTTCCGCTGGGTGTGTTTTTATCTGCGCTTTTTTTTTCCAAGGTAGCAACAAAAGTTAGGGCAACTCAAACTCTTTGTAGTTAAGATTTGAAAGAGTTGAGATTCATAAATCTCTTGTCATAACCGGTTAAAACTTGTCCAGGAAAACTCAGATCTGTGGCCACCACAGAAATCTGAGATTCCTGTCTGATGGGTACTTAACACTGGGCAAAATTGTGGCTGGAATCAAGTTGCAGCCTTAATTACTGAGCAGCCATAGTCTCTGTAGCATTGCTTTATCAGAAGCAAAAAGGCACAAACTGCAGGGTTGGTGCAGGTGTGGGGAATGTCAGGAGAGGTCCAAAATCCTTTTACTGTGTAGTGAGACTGGCATTCATGGCAGGTGTCCAGCTGAGGTTGTTTGGAGGTGGATTTTGGAGCTGTTGTGTGTGTGTGTCTTAAAGTTTTGCACCAAAGTTTATAAAGTACTTTCCATGTGCCACTTTTAGAAGCTTTGAACTGAAGTATTTTGTATTTTACCTCATTTCCAGCCTGCTGGAAACCATGTCTCACTACACAGACGAGCCAAGATTCACCATAGAGCAGATCGACCTCCTGCAGCGCCTGAGACGCACGGGAATGACCAGGCATGAGATCCTGCACGCCCTGGAAACCTTGGACCGTCTTGACCAAGAGCATAGCGACAAATTCGGGAGAAGGTCTGGCTACGGAGGCGGCTCCTACAGCAACAGCACCAACAACGTCCCGGCGTCTTCCTCGACGGCCACGGCTTCCACGCAGACCCAGCACTCCGGGATGTCCCCGTCCCCGAGCAACAGTTACGACACCTCCCCACAGCCTTGCACTACGAATCAGAACGGGAGGGAGAGTAACGAGAGGTTGTCTGCCTTCAATGGGAAGATGTCACCCACCCGCTACCCCTTGGCCAACAGCCTGGCCCAGAGGTCCTACAGCTTCGAGGCTTCCGAGGAGGACTTGGACATCGACGACAAAGTGGAGGAGCTGATGAGGTGAGTGAAGGTCTCTGTAAAAAGTTTGGGGGTGAGAAGAGCCTCAGCAGGAATGGGCTGTTCAAATAGGGATTATAGGGTGGTAAAATGTTGGCACAGGTTGTCTGGAGAGGTGGTGGATGCCCCATCCCAGAAAACATTCAAGGTCAGGTGGGACAGGGCTCTGAGCAGCCTGATCTAGTTGAAGATACCCCTGCTTATTGCAGTAGGTTTGGACTAAATAACCTGAAATGTCTCTTCCAACCCTCACTGTTCTGTGAGGGTTTGATGATGGTGGTGATCAGGAGAGCAGGAGCTGCTTCAGGTAGTTGTTCCTGCCAGTGCTCCAAGGGTCACCATCCCAGAACCTCTCACCTCCCTTGTGGAGACAGCCCCTGGCCCTGTGTGGGTGTCCCACAGTCTGACTGTATAAATAATTTTTCTGCTGCTGTACCAACAATTGGGATTGATGTTAGAGCACTCGTTTTCCACCCTAGCTTTATTCAGGATTCTGATCAAATGCCAATTCACATGACTCCTCCTCCACTGTTTCACACTGTCCTGGGGTGACTAGGACACACACCCTTTGTGATTCCTTGAATAAAGAGGGAGAGTAAGGAATCCAACTTGGATTGGTCAGTGCTTTCCAAGTGGGATCTGGAGAGGGTGCATGTTGTTTGTTTATAGTTTGTGGCAGGGATTTGCAGAGTGGTGCAGGAAAATACAAATAGTAAAGAAGAAGCAGAAGTTTTCTCTGAAAGCCATTTGCGTGGGTTTTTTTCAGGTCTGACCTTCCTTTACTTTTAGCAGCTTCCTTTTCAGGATTATGGCAAAGATGAAAGGAGGGGATTATACTCCTGAGGATGAAAGTCAGAGACAGTGGGCTTTGAGAGCAGAAAGAAATAAGAGGAAAGGCCAAATGTCTCAAAACAACTTCGGTCATAATGTTGGAATTTATTCTTTTTTCCCCCCATAACTTCACCATTCCTGAAGAGAACTGGAGAACTGGGGTCCATAAGCTTCAGAATGGAAATATGTTGGAAGTAATTTGGAGATTTCAGGGAAAGATGTGGCTTTTTGGGGAGAGGATTAGAGATGACCAGTAAGAAAAAAGCCGATCAACCTCATTTGCTGTCAGCTGCAGGATGATGGAATTGTGCAGGAAGGGAGTGAGTACATCAGAGTGCTAAGTTACCATGGCTGAGGTTTGGGTTCCTGTGCAGTGAGTCTCAGGTAATGCTTTTAGTGCTTATTTAAATTGAAATTACTTGTTTTTGCAGGCATATGGAAGATGAGTGTTGGTACAGAAATAAAAATGAACCCACAGCACAGCATTCATTTTGCATTTACATTTGCAAGCTTGAGTCTGTCTTCAATGCTGCTAGGGCAGGAGGGGAGAAGAGGAAGGGAAATGTCTCAGAAAGCCTAATAAAGGCTGGTTTTAATTGCCTGCCCTTCTCAGGAAGGGAGAGAGGAAGAGGAGGGGCAAAGGATATGTTTATTGCAATTGAAATTTGCCGTGTATCACAGTACATGTGCAACCTCCAATTTATTTGCTTTTTAGCACAGTTTTTGCCCCTTCTGAGCTACCTGTGCAGACCTTGTAAAAATCATACAAAGACCTCAGTTCATTCAGTGCAAGCTCTAGACTAAGTAGGGGACTTAAGGACAGAGGCTGTAAAATTTTGGATCTTTTCCTTGGGATGCTGGAAGAGGTTGGTGTATGCATATTCATTTGGGTAACTAACCATGCAGCTCCTGCTATCCTTTATTTTTTATTTTTCTGCCTCATTTTTATGAGTGAGGTTTTTATGCTGGTATGAGAGATTTATTCATCCCTGTGTAATGAAACTTTGTACATTCCATATGGCAGTGCTGCACCTAATATGAATTATATGGGACATGAGTCATCCATTCTCCTGCTATGGTACTTTGATCAAACGTGACACTTGTTAAAAGAAGTGTCCAGCACTGAGGCACTTGGGCTGCTTTAATTCCAGCCTTCCCCACTCCTTGTCCCGTAAATAAAGGAAATAAAGGCATTTTGCATCTTGCAGGTGCGTTTTGGTCCGTCCCTCTTTTTGTGTGTCCTGTTGTTTTGTTTTGGTAGGAGGGACAGCAGTGTGATAAAGGAGGAAATCAAAGCCTTCCTCGCCAACCGGAGAATTTCCCAAGCAGTTGTTGCACAGGTAACAGGTAAGAGCTCGGGGAGTCCTGTCCTCATTTTGGTAATCTCTATGGCTGAGCTGCCTGTCTGAGCATGGTGCAGATGTTGGAATATCACTTGGCTTTCTGCATTGCAGTGCAGATCTGTCAGCTTAGTCATGATAATGTATGCCTTTGATTTAAGACCCATTGTCCTGCACATCATGGAACTTCCCTAGTGAATCACTTTTTTTTTTTTTTTCTTTTTTTTTTTTTTTTCCTGTGGCTTGTGCTGGCAGATTTTATTTTACAGCATTATAATAAAGCCTGAAGTTCTTATCTTAAAATGAAAATGGTTTTCCTTAATTCTTAAATTGTTGTTGAGTATGGCAAATAGATGTGTATCTACATCTCTGGGTATGGAGAGAGAGAGAGAGAGAGATAATGTGTATTTATATATTAAAAAGCATATGAATAGTCAGGGGACACAGCTATATCTGGTACCTCTGCAGCAAGGAGTTGCAGGAGGAGAGTTGGAAGTTTTATCCGTCCTTTGAGTCAGAATTAATGAAAATCTGAAGGGAGGTTGAGGGATGACCAGACCAGCTCAGGTTTTACCTGGAAGGAGCAGCGGTTCTGGGTGCCCTGTGCCCTGAGCCTTCTCTCTCACATCCAGACAGGTGCAGTGGTGCCACTTCTTCCCTGTTCTTCTTCCCAGAGCTTTACAGAGAGGGTGATAAAGTCCTGTTCCTCCTCCATGGGGTGGGGTATTGCTGTTTCTCTCTTCCAGGCACATGGGCCTTGCCTGGAACAGCCTCAGAATCATTTTGGTTGGAAAAGCACTCTAAAACCATTGAGTCTGATCACTCCCCCAGCTCTGCCAAGGCCACCACTGATCCGTGTCCCCAGGTGCCACATCCACATGGCTTTTAAATCCTTCCAGGGATTGGGACTCCTCCACCCCTGCTCTGGTGCCAGGGCTGGACAGCCCATTCCAGGCAGGAATTGTTCTCCAATTGTTGTATCCAACCTGAACCTGCCCTGGCACAGCTTGAGGCTGTTCCCTCTCATCCTGTCCCTGTTTCCTGACAGGGGACCAGAGGACAGGTGCAGAGCCAGAAGGTCCCCCCTGAGCCTCCTTTTCTCCAGGCTGAACCCCTTTCCCAGCTCCCTCAGCTGCTCCTGGTGCTCCAGCCCCTTCCCCAGCTCCGTTCCCTGGATTCACTCTAGCCCTTCTTTTAGGATGAAGACTTGATGATAAAATTCAGACAGCTCAATCCCATGTTACAGCTCTAGGATTTGTTAACTTTTTAACCCAAACTTGGATGAAGATCTTGAGACAGATGATTTTTAAGGTTCCCTGATGTCTGGGAATTCAAAACCAGTAGGAGGGAAGTTGTTCTTTTATGATATTTCCAGGATTTGAAATGTCATAGGAACCCACTTGTCTGGGAGCTGTGGGTTTGCAGACGTGGCAGCAGTTGAGGTGGGCAAACACAAACTGGTGCTTGAACCACAGAGCCAGGAATTCCTTGTGTGTCTTCAATTCTTGTGTGATCCTGGGTAAAATGACTTGTCCTTCCCTGGTGTCAGTTTCATCTGGAAAATCATGAGATTAACAATTTGTGTAAATGTAAGGGATGTTGGCCTTATCAGATGTTAGCACTAATACTTCAAAAAGTTATATGTAAGTCAAGTTGCTTAAATTGTACCTGAACTCTACAATTTTGGTAGTTAGTGGGTCAGTCTCCTGCTTTTGTTCATTCCTTGCCTGAATATAGTCCTGGAAGAACCCATCTCTGAATTAACCTTTGTGTAGCACCCAGCAAATCAGGCTGGCTTCCCCTGCAAGAGAAGTACTGCAGAGAGAAAAACAGCACAAAAGGAGTCTTTCCAAAAGGAGACTTTTTTTTTTTGGTCAATGGGACTGCCACATGTGGGGTCATTGAATCAGAATCACCACACCAGATCCGAGTCTGTATCAGTGAAAGGAATGGATCTAATTATAATTAACTGAGTGTCTTGGTGTGTGTGTTTGATACCCTGCAAGAAGCTGTAGGAAAGACAAGACCAATCTCTTCACACCTGATCTTTTCCTTCCTTCCATCCTGTTCTCTTGGATTTCAATGGACATTAAATTGGCATTTAGCCTTTGGGAGCTCTCATTGTTTCCTCCTGTGAGTAAATGACACCAACCATCCACTTCAGACTTGGCTGACTGAATTTCACACCCTTCCCACTCAGCCCTCCTGTGTAACACAAGGGGGATCCACAGTGTGCTCACAGAGGGACCACAGAAATACTGCAGGGTACCAGTGGGACAGCATGAGGGCTGAGCTGAAAACACTGTGTTATTATCTTGTTTCCAAGACAAATCCATGGGAAACCAATACCTCCTTGCATCTCAGTCATCCTCCCTGTGCTTGGAGGGAGCTGATCCATTTTAAATAAACCTTGTGTAAGCAGATGTGTAGCACTTACATGCCACTCCTAAGTACATAGTAATAGCTTATCTGGGAGAAATGGTAAATCTCAAAGAGACGTTTGGAAGGAGCAGATTAAAGAGTGTACTCAGCTCTAGCAGGGGGAAACATCAGCTTCCTCTCAAAAGCAGGGAGTGGTGAGGTGTGACTGAAATAGCTCGGGACAGAGATCCGGAGCAGAGCGTCCCAGGGCTCTCCCTTCCAGAGCTGTCTCGGGCCTGATGAGTGCTGGAGGACTTTGAGTGTTCTTCAGATGCCTCCAACATCCCTTTCAGCTGGGAAAGAGACTCCCAAAGAATGTCTGGAAACCACTTCTGGTTCAGTAAAAGAACAGTTTGCATAGGCAGAGGCTTTGCAGGCTGTATGATCCCAAATGGCATCACCTCAGGATTTACAGCCTTAGTCTTACTGATAAATATTTTCTGTAAAAAGTTACTTGTAGAAGAGGAAAATTAGAAATCTAAGCTTTTAGTCTTCATCCCTTCTGCCTTGGGAAGAGGCAAGAAATGAAAAATTTATGGCTGGTTCTGTCCAGGAGACTGGCTTGGCTTGGCTTGGCTACCTCTGCTGGGAACTTTTCCTTTCAACCTCTACCAATTCTCTGTTTCCGCAGTCCTTATGACCTTATTTATCCCCATTCTGTAACTTGCCATGTTCTGTCCTTGGTGCAGAAACCTCTACTGCAACTGTGACCCCTCGAAACCTCCTTTTTACCTTATTTTTCTAATTCTTCAAAACTGCTTTCATTCAGAAACACATTTCTTCTTTTTCCCATCTTAATTCTAACATTGCAAAGCACTTAGAGAATCCTTAGTCCTGCAGAGCAGCTCTGCATCAGTAAACAGCTTTTCCTCTTGTTTTTCCTGCTGTAGCACAAGGCAAGTGATGGAGAGGGAGGATGCAGGAGAGAGGAAAACAGAGCTGAAGGTTAAAGTCAGCTGTTGCAGTAGAAAAAATGTTGAGGCTCTCTTAATCCTTATAAAATTACCAGGAACTTTAAAAGTCATTTAGATAATGAATCTGACAGGAAAAATTAAACCTGGAAGACATTCTACAGGGCTGCCTGGTGTATGGAGAGGACAGGGCAGGTTGGAAAATAGTAACAGGGTATTAAAAAGTGACTTGAAAATAAAAGGGTGATTGATAAGAAGCAAAAACTTAGCATAACACTTATTAGTGCTGGTCCTAAAAACAGGAGCTGCTTTTTATAGAAACTTTTTTAATGGTGTCTGTAATAAGATAAACAAGGAGCACTTGGGTTGGGCTCTGTATAAATAATCTCCTACTGATAAGAAAAAATGACAGTATAAACAGAAGCTAATAATAGTTCCTGCGGAATTTCCTATCCTGGTGTTTGGAGCTCCTTTTAACATCACTGCAGCCTGCTCAGGGTTCAGCCCCACGTGGGGCAGGTGAGCTGCCAAATTTTGATCAAATACAATTTGAAGTCGTGTGTTGCAGTTTTCTTAAATTGCCACAAGAATTGTACTTGGGCACCAGGTTATGGTCAGAAGGCAAAGGATGAAAATGAGAGAGAGAAATGTAAACTTCTCTCAGAGGTGCTGGCTGAGCTTCCCAAGTTAGATGGAGGGTGGGGAAGTGTTTTCAGGAACTGATGTCTTTCTGTTCTACAGTAAAGGAGAGAGGGAGTAGAGCACAGGGATGAGCCCTCTGCAGATGGGCTGAAGTGGTTTGATGGATGATGCCTCTGCAAGGTTTGGAAATATTACCTTTCCTGTTTGTTACACATAGGGAGTGAGGGAATTAAAAAAACACCCTTCTTTTCCTGAGGTTACAAAGCAGAAATTTCAATTCCGTTTTCTCAGTTCTTAAAAACATAAAACCCTAACCACCATTTAAAAAAAAACCCCAAACCCATCAACAGTAAAATGCAGAAATCATTTATTGGGTTGTTTTTAAATACACATAGAGCTTTCCAGGGTGCAGTTCTGGTACCCTTCCCAATTATTCCGCTTGTACAACCCAGCCCTGTCCTCCTGCCTCTGCCTTAATTGATAGGGGATCTGCAGGACTTGGCTTTAGATTATGCTAAAACACACGTGCAGTGGAGGGCAGCCTTGGAGCACTGCTGGAACAAATAAAATCCCCACAGGTTTGGAACCCACACACAGGGATGTTGAGCAAATGCCAATACACAGGGAAACTTAACTAGTTCCATTGTGAAGAGAATTCAGAAAATTCCTGAATTACTAATCATCTCAAAATGCAGTTTTATGCATTTTGAGAAACATTTTCCTTCCTGTTTTTTTTTTTTTTTTTTAATACTCATGACAACACAGAGATATGTTTTTCTATGATTTTGATCTTTGCAGGTTTTCTGTAAACAAGCTTTGCTAATCTCCTAAATTGATAGATGTCCTTTGCAAGCACTTGTTCTCTGAATCTGGGACTTTGCTTACAAAGTGAAGAATTAAAACACAGGCAGTTACTTTCTTCTCCAGGTCTGATGTATTCCAGGTGCTTCTGAAAACCTCTCCTGAAAGAAACATTAAAGAAATGCAAAGCAGAGCTGCTGAACAGATCTATCTGTGAAGGTGAAAACCAGATCTCAAAGACTTGATGAATAACAGAGTTGAGGGTTATGAGCAGGTTTGAGCTGCACATAGCAGTGGCCTTCTCTTGATGATGTATTTTACCATTTATTTTATGTGTTTGGAGGGGAAGCTCTCCCTAAATCAGTTGTGTAGGACACAGCAGGCCTGGCCAGGGGGGTGAGCACATTTTTTTTTATCACTGGGAAGTGTGACCTGCTGTGGGAAAGAGTAAGTGTGACACAAGCATCTGAACGGCAATAATCCTTTGTGGATACCACTTTCCTTCAGTATTTTCCATGAAAAAACTGCTGTTGTTCATAACCAGGTGTGTTCCTGGCCCTGCTGATGCTGAGCCTGGAGCAGCACACCCCTCCTTGATGTCCCTGCTTTGCTTGGAGAGTGAATTTCCTCAGCACAGCTGGATTTTCACTACTCCAGAGAAGTTATTTCATTAATTGCTTCTGGCAGCAGGATGATTTCTTTTTTCCTGCCACTGCAATTCCCTAAAGCAGAGTGTGATTAGAGACAACAAGACAGGAGGGTCCTGGTGGTCCAGCAACCACTGTTTTCTGTGTGAAACCCACTTCTTGAGATGCAAGAAACTCGGGCATGTCAATTTGTGGGGTTTGTTTTTTACACTGAAAGGAGTTAACGGTGGGTTTGGATCCCATGGCACTGGGATCTGAGAGATCCTGGATGAGTTCTTCTGGAAGACTTTGCGTGTGACCTTGGGTTGGTCAAGCTGCTGGGATACTGTTTTGAGGCCTCTAAACCTTGCTGAGGTGCAGATAAATTTTATGCCTTAAAAACATTTTGCAGCAGCAGCTTTATGAGCTGTGAGGACTCGCAGTAAGTCAGAGGCTCAGCTACTGTGGCTAGATGACAGCCACAAAAGGATCCCAGCACAGATCCAGCTCTGTTTGGGAGAACTTTGATGCAGTTCAGGACATTGGCACAGTGCATAATTTGTGGAAAAAAGCTTTTTATGATGAAGGTGGCACAGGTTGGTCAGGAAGTTGGTGTCTGCCCCATGCCTGGAAACATTCAAGGTCAGGTTGGACAGGGAACAATGTGATCCAGTTGAAGGTGTCCCAGCTCATTGCAGGGGGTGTTGGACTAGCTGACTTTTAAAGGTTTTTCCAACTCAGATTTTTCTGTGATGCCATGAAAGTGGACATGGCAAGACCCAACTTGAGTTTTTTGGCTCCTGCTGGTGTGCCTTGCCCTCGAGCACATTGTTTGGAGCGGTGACATCTGTGCCACGTGTGACAGTGTCAGGCAGCCTCTTGAGCAGAATTTGGATTTTCCACTCGGGGCAGACTTGTAATCTCTATTTATAATTTTTATCTGCCAGTGCTTTGTGTTTGTATCTTAGGTTGTTATCCAAACGCTCAACACACGCTAATTCACTGCAATAAGTGTAAGTGGACCATAGTAAACAAGTAAATGACTGGAGCTGTTACCCAGTGATTAATTAATGGGAACAGGGCAGCCAAGAGCAGCGAGACACAAACCTTTGTGTCCCACAGGCCAGGACAAGAAATGGCTTTTATCAATCATAATAGGTCAAGAGCTGCAAATTTTCAAAACTTGGACTTTCCACTGGTGATGAGGCATGCAGATGGCAGGGTTTCAACTAGGCTGGAGCCTCTTTTTGGGCCAGAGAGGGTTATCAACTTACACTGCCTTCTTTTGGTATTAACTTGTGTGCTTCCACAGTTACTTGATGTAAACTTGGCAGGGTCTGAGGGTTGTGTTTGGTTGATTAATTCAACTTCCCCAGTAGTATAAACTCAGTTTTAGATCCCAGTATGGGCCCTGGGGGTAGGCAGCTCTTGGCTGCCCCAGCTGTTCCTGAACTCTGTCGGTTGAGGGCAAGGTTCTGGGAAAATCAGGGGTCTGTTTTGTGGGCACAGCTCTGCTGAACAGAAGTGAGCTGCTGTATCTGAAACAAAACACACCCATCTTTCCCCCAGGACAATTTAAAATTCATAGCCTCTACAATTCTACTTGTGGAAAAACAATTAAGAGTACAAACCCAGTGATTTTAAAAAATCTGGTCGGTGTAAACCCACCTGAATATGATACCTGAGAGTCAAGTTGAGACATTTTGAAGTTAACTACCTTCAATGCACAAAAACCCCCATAATAAACCCCCACATTAGAAGTGGTGAAACTACAGGGGGCTGTTTTTCAGGAGTTAAATATGATTATGAGAGCTTATAAAACCTTGATGCATCTCTAGAGGGGGGAGGTAGTTTGGGTTCTGTGTGCAAACCAGCCTCTACCTGCCCGGGTGATTTCACCAAGCAGGTGGTGGCACAGGTGGTGTTGGCAGTGTATTGGTACTTGGAGCACCTCCTAAAACTTAACTTCTCAGGAGAGTTTGGATGTTGTTAACCTGTTCTGAAGGGCCTTGTGGAAGGCACGGGGAGTTCTGAAGTAGTGCTTCAGTTACTCAGCAAACTGCATTTTTGACATTTTCACATGAGCCTATTGCTGACCTCTTCATGCTCTTCTAAACCTCTTGCTGTACTTAGCTCCTCTGCTGATCACTTCTTGCCCTTCCTGCGTTGCTCCTTCATTCCCTGTCACGCTTTGGAAATAACTGTATTAACTTCTAGGAATTTTTTCCCCTTCTTACTGTTTTCTTAGATCTCTTGCTTTAAAAACTGCAGTGTTTTGTCCCTAATCATGCCTGGGTACCTCGAGCTTGGCTCCTGCTTTGCTGACAGACAGCTGCTCTTTCTGGCTTGTTTTCTGGCTGTTGTTACAGCTGCTGACAGTTGGTTTGCTCCATTTCTGGGCTGATGTGATTTATGTCACATAAACTGTTTCCTTTGTTTAGCTCCCTTCTTATTCAAGCATTGAATGATAAGAATTTCCTAACAATCATTATTTATATATAATAGTGGGGAAGGGGCTTGTTTCCATTTCACAGTTTAGGAATCAGGGAAGGTGTGGACAATTCGAGTCTGTGATAGCTTTGGCTGTTCAGTTTTTATCCTCTTTGCTTTTGGGCTGATCATGCAGATTCCAGGGTGTTCCTTGAGTGAGGTTGAACATAACCCCAGGGAGAAATTTGGGCAGTTTGGGACTGAGCAGGGGAGCTTCAACTCTGCTTTTTCTGGGATTGAAGCATCACAAGTTCCTGGGCTTTGTAAGACACCACCTTTTATCAGTAGATAAACCACTTTTAAATGTTTGGTAAAGAAGAACTTTTCTCTTTCTCTCTTTCTTTCTTCTGTTCTGGTTTTTCACAGGTATCAGTCAGAGCCGGATCTCCCATTGGCTGTTGCAGCAGGGGTCGGACCTGAGTGAACAGAAGAAAAGGGCATTTTACAGATGGTACCAGCTTGAGAAGACAAATCCTGGTAAACAAATGCAGCCTCAATATCTCCTGCTGTTTATTTATGGAATGGAAACCTTTTGTTTATTAGCACTGATAATTCTCTTCTTGGAGTCTGGGGTACTCCAGAGGTTCTCCCTCTGACCAGGTTAATTTTTAGGAGGGTGGGAACAAATTGCTTTTTGCTTGGCAAGAAATGATGCAGAGCTGCTTCATCCAGAGCTGCCTCGTCCAGAGCTCCTCAGCCACAGATACCTGCCCTGCCCTCCCACCACTCACTAAATCTGGGAATCAGAAGCAGCCAGTGAAGTTATAATCAGTAAACATCAAATAGAAGCTGAGGCTCTTCAGAATGAAGAAATAGAAACCATTAATAATGGCTGTATAATATAAAGTTGCAGCAAAAAACCCCACCCAGTTTGTCAGAGAGGATCTTCAGAGGCTTTTGGGTTGGATCTCAAGCTCACGGATGGGATGTTGATAGTTACAGTGATAAGCTGGAGATGTGTCTTTCAAATCCCACCTGCTTTTCCAAATCTCAGAATAGATCTTGAATACAAAAAGAGAAGTAAAGCTCCTCATTATCTTTAACTAACCAGCAATCTTCAAAATCACAGTTGAATTAATTTCCTTGTATTGTTCTTCTCCATAGATTTTGTTTGATCACAGTTCTTATTTTTCCCTTTTAACAGTTTTATTGTAAAGATCAAAATATTTATGTTTAATTCCCTTTAAACATTGGCTTGATTAAATTAACTGTGTAATTGTTTCAAGGAATTTAAAACTCAGGCTCTCTAATGTGAACTTGGCTTCAATATCCAGAATTCTATTAAGAAAAATTCCAGTGGAAACAGAGCCTCAAAACTTCTGCTTTGTGTGTAAACTGAAAATCAAGAGGCTCCAGCTGATAGTTGGCCTGAGAATAATTCAGATTTAAGTTGGGTGGGTCCAGAGGGATAACTGAGCCTGTATTTTATGTGAAGCATCTTAAGATTAATTTTCTTAAAGTTGTTTTAAAGAGTAAAAGTGCCAAGAAGCCTTGATTTTTGCACTGGCTGGACTTGTGATACTGAGAATCAGCAGAACTCCTGGGTACAACCATCCAGAGCCAGCTGCTTGGAAAGGCTCAGGTTTTACCCTACAAAGTAACTCCCAGACATTTCCCTTTGATGAAAGGTGTTGCCTCCAAAGCAGTGGAAGGACTTGAGAGTTTTTGGGAGGTGTAAAAACCATCAAAACCCTCGCCAGATGAAAGCTGTTGTGTGGATTTTTCCCAGCCTTGCATCCTTTATTTGCAGTATTACATGGAGCTGTTTAGGGAATAGTATTTTGTGCTAATAACAGAACGCTTGTTCAACCTAGCTCTAAAATCTTTACTTCTTCCTCTTTACTTTCTTTTTCCCCCATATCCATGAGCTCATGTCTTGTTTGTCCTTTTGCTCTTGAGAGTTGTCATAGGAAGGAAGATTTTCCACACTGAAGATTTTGGCTGAAATTGAAATGAATCAACATTAACTCTGCTTTGCTTTAGACATGGAATAACTCGTTGAAGAGTGGTTGTTTGAGTGTAACCTTTTTCCCAATAAGAGATCTTAAACAGCATTTTCAAGGAGTGTAAAAGTCAAATTGTTTCCTCTGCCTAAGCTAAGGGACTATTTGGATGCACTTAAATTCCTTTTAGAACCAGACAGCACTTGGTTTCTTTTTAGAAGGTGAGGTAGAGGGAAGAACCTTCAGTTTTCCTCTCACTGTCAGAAAAAAATCTATCTGATTTTTATCTATCTGATTTATCTGAAAATCTGAGGAAAATGGGGTTGTATTTATTTATACACTGTAGGCTAATCCACTCTTTGAGTTACTGCCATCTATTATATTGCAGGTGAGACTAGGTAGCCAAGAAGAATTAACATGGGTATGAACAAGTGTGCAAAGGGAGGTACCAACCTTGTCCAGAGAATCCTGGATTTAAATCACTGTTTAAAAAAACACCTGGAGCTGGAGTTTTGGGTGCTAGTACACAGTATCCTGTGGTTAGTAGACAGAGTAGCTGGTCTGGTGATCTCCTTAGAGACAGAAAATGAGGAAATCATTGGGGCTTCCTGCCATGTTCCCAAAAAGTGCTGCCATCACCACACTCTCTCTGTAGGGTGTGAAGGATTGCCCTCCTTGGAAGAAACTCGAGAGATGAAATGACTGCCATGTGGGTTTTTTTTAGTTGCTCACTTAGTAAGAGATGGCATTTGGCTTTCTGTTCTCATACATCCCATCTTTTCCAGTTCCAGCTGCTGGGAGGAAAATCTCTGTCCTTTGAGAGAAAGTCAGGTCTGTGTGCAGAAGGATCTGCAGGTTTAAGTTATCAGAGGGCAAAGTGAGGCTTTTGAGGACTATTGGTTCCCAAAAATTACAGTTTTTGTAATTCCTAATCTTGAAAAACTGGATCTTCAGAGTAAATCCATTTTTTGACTGAATTTGTGTAGTAATGGAAAGAAAACCTTAAATTGAAACAGTTTTGAAGGACTAGGACAGCAGATGTAATCAATTTCTAAACTGTGAAGGAATAGTTTGTATGGAAAGGACTGGAGATCTCTTGGCAGACTTTCCCTTGGCTCTGCCAGTTTTTCTGTGCAGCTTATAGAATTCACCTTTTATGTCCCTTTTCTATCTCCTGGATACAGGTGAGACCTTTCCCTGTGGCTGACACACCTGCCTTGCCTTCAGTTCCTCACAGCAGGACCTGTCTTCTTACTGTGCTTATATAAGCAAATTATGACTTAAAAATATATCAAAAGATATTTTATTTTTTTAAAATGTGCTATGTGATGCTTTAAATCATCCACAGGCAGTGCTGCATCTGCCAACCAAAGGACTTGGTGCTGGGGAGCCTTAGGGCAGTTTTAGGGTGTTGCTGGTCCTATATGGAAGAGACTCAGCAATTCCATCCCTTCCATTCTTTTCCAGCTGGCTTCGAGCTCTTGAATGTGCTGTTTGTTATTTGCCTGGCTTTGATTGCTGGTTTGCATGGGCAGTTTCTGCATTTCTCCTGTCCTTGGTGGTGGGTGTTCAGAAAGCACCAGACTGGAATGTTGCAAAGGAGACTTGAAGTCTCATGGAACAGGAGGAAAACGCCCACTTGTCCCACTGTATGCAATAATCTTGCTCAAAAAAATGTCTTAATCAATGTTTTCTTGGTAGGAGTGATGTCAGAGTTAATGGCAGTGCTGTGAATTCCAGTGTGCTACTGATGGAAATTTTTCTGGAAGGAGTTGCCAGTTAGGGTGAAAGGCAGGTTTTTTTTTTGTTGAAGGGAAGAAGTCAGTGCTAAATGCAGGTGTTTAAAAGGTCTTTATTCCAATTAATAGGGATACTTTTCATTTAGATGGAGCTTTTTTCACACAGGCACCACTTGTCTGTCCTGTGTTTCAAGGAGGACTGAGAGCATTTTGGCAATAGATAAATTCTGTATATTTCAGAAGCCAGTAGTGTCCTGCAATGTTCTCGCTATTATTTTCAGATCCCATAGGTTTTAAATAATTTTTTTTTTTTGATTGGTAGTTGTTATCCTGATTAATTTTCCTGTCACTGGCTATTGGGCAATGTGGAAAGTTTGTCATGGAGTAACTTCAGCTTGTCTCTTGCCTCTGTGTAGTGCAAACTGAAGCTGGCACCTCGAAATGATGTGTTAAAGTTACAGATGGCTACAGGCTGCTTCCATTTAGGCTGGGTATTTATTTCTGCCACTCTTCTCTAATAGGAAGGCAGCTGTGGTCACCTTGGAGAGAGCCATGGGCTCTTCCTCCTTGAACAAAAGGGAAAATGAAAGGGAGCTATTATCAGGATGTAGCATCTCTTTTGTTATTTTCATAGCGGTTCTTGTTTAGCTATGAAAGAAAAGCCAACCCAAAATCAGGGGCTGGCTGTCCCACGAGGTTTGCACTGGGAAGGGCTGGTTGGGAATGTGCTGTTCCACAGAGCTGCAGAGCAAACAGGCTCTGCTCCTCTTCCTCCCCACCATGGGCTCTGTAGGGAACCTTGTGCTGCTGCTGATTTCTGATCGAGAGGTGTTTATTGTGTGATCTGGGGTCAGCCTGGCTAAAAATACAGTGAGGCATCTGTTCTTATCAGGATAATGTACAGCAGGTACTTGCTGCAAATGAAAACTTGCCAGGAAATGGTTTCTTGGAGCTGGGAGATGCCTGAGGCTTTCTGTGACCGTGCAGTGGCAGGGCCTGCTTGAGCCCTGGGCTGGGGAGCAATGAGTGCATGTGATGCTCTTAGAACAACTCCCTCCCTTCAGGATGGGACCTGGCATGTGCAAGCCTTGGCCAGGAGGAATTTTGAACATGGAGAGAGCTCCATTCCAGTTGGAGAGCACGTCTCCTGCCTCCTCTCCCCCAAACCCACCTGCAGCATCCTCAGTCACACAAAAAATTCACCAAGAAAACTCAGTGCTGTAGGAAAAGGTGCTGAGCACAGGCAGGGAGTGAGAGCTGTCTCCTTTCATTTCTGTGTGTGAAAGGAGTTCTTCCCAGGCAGTTCACCTCTGCACCCCTCAGAGGTGTCTTGCTGTTTGATGCATACACTGAGAACCTTGTACTGTGTTTTCTCCACTCTGTCTGCTCAGGAGAGAAGTTTCACTTCTCCTTAAAAGCTGTTTGAGGGGTTTAAAAAAAGAATCTGAACTGGTGACTAGGATGGAACTTGCTAAGTTATAAAGAAGTGGAGCTGGGTGGCGAGAATATTGTGATGGAATGTTGGAACAGCAGAATAAACGGGAGCTCACTGAAGAGATGGGGATGAGGAAAAGCTCCGTGGGTTCCTTATCAAATGTGCATATCATAAATGATAAATTTGGATTCAAAGTCATCTCATTTCACCCTCTGCCATGGGTAGGGACACCTCCCACTGTCCCAGGTTGCTCCAAGCCCCATCCAACCTAGCCTTGGACACTTCCAGGGATCCAGGGGCAGCCACAGCTTCTCTGGGCACCCTGTGCCAGGGCCTCCCCACCCTCACAGCCAACAATTCCTTCCCAATATCCCATCCATCCCTGCCCTCTGGCAGTGGGAAGCCATTCCCTGTGTCCTGTCTCTCCATCCCTTGTCCCCAGTCCCTCTCCAGCTCTCCTGGAGCCCCTTTAGGCCCTGGAAGGGGCTCTGAGCATCCCATGTTGCCATTTTTCCACACGTTCATCCAAGCCCATTTTGGGCCTCTTTATGCATTCAGATCCTCCTCTCTTGCTGTGTGGAGGTACTTGCTTGTAATTCTCAGCATATTCCTCTCTTATCTGCTGCTGATATTGATGTTACCCCATAGAAAAGAGAAATGGCTAAATTGATCTAGGAAGGCTACTAAAATAAAAAAGTGTATTATATTCAGTACGTGAACATACCTGTAGCAGCAGCAGAAAATTTATGCTTTCGATGCAGATTTTTTTTCAACCTTTGTCTGAAAAATCTCGGGCAAATTTAATGGAAGGATTCTGCATCTCTTGCCTTGATGTGAGGCAGCACTGATACTCCTGTACTCTCCCTGTGAAATCAAATCTTTAGGTAGGGAAAGTATATTGCTAACACAGTGCAGGGAAACCTAATTTCTTTTCCTGTTCTCCCCTGTCTCTTTTTAAAATTTTCTCTTTTTTTTTTAATTTTTTTTTAAGTTTTTGAAGTGTATTTAAAACCTGGCAACTCGATAGCCACCCAGCCCCCTAAACTGTGCAAGTAGCAGAAAGACTAGATAAGGAGCTCTCCTTGAAATGGCCTCCCAGTAAATTGGCACTATAGGAAATATTTCATGTTTCAATGGAACCAAGTAATCTGTGTAGGCTCGTTAGCTGGGAATTAGGGAGAGGCACCGTGCCTTGTGTGTGCAAGGCAGAGATTGTGGGCTTCACTTCCTACTGACTCCTCCTGGGGAACATTTGTAAATTATTTTGGGCTCCACTACCTAACACAGATGCAAGCCCCTGGCAGGAAGGGAAAGACTCCGTGTGCATTTCTGGAAAGGAATGCAGCCAAGTGCCTAAACAGCTCATTTCTTGCTTTTTAGCTGTAGGAATTTGTTTATTGGTTAAACTCCTGGGTTCCCTTGACCCTTTCACTCCTCTGTGTATTAGAGGAGCGGTGTTGTTGCACTAACACTGTGTGTTTTGATGATTAAATCCCAGCCATTCTGAGTGAGCCTGAGCACCCAAAGGGTGCCCTGCACCGTGAGCAGGGCTGCTGCTTCTCCTAGATCTGTCCAGGCTGGCTCAGTGCAGGAATTCCACTGGAACCCAGGATGCTTATGGGATATAGGTGGTGATTTATCTTTCCATACAACCTTTTTCTCTTAATTTTTTTTGTTGCAGACTAGAACAGCTCTCTCTTCCCTGCAGGGGAAGTCACTAAGCACAAAGCTTGTCCTTCAGAACATACCCTGATTTCTGTCCTCGTGTCCTATCCCAGATTCCCATCCTCACCAAGGGATGGAGGAAAGATCGATCTCCCAGAGTGTCTTGATTTATTTATCTTGATTTATTAACTGAGAGGCTTTTGTGGAAAGGATCAGGGGTAAGTTTCAAAGGGGCCTTTCCTGAAGGCATCTTGCCAAATCCTGTCTTGTGCCTGATGCTTTCCAGCTCAGAGTCACGGAAAGGAGAAATACTTCCAAAGAAGGGGAGCAGGAGAGGAAGGTTGTGATGTTAATCTGCTTGCACTGACTTTTTCAGGCACCCTGGCACTTGGGAGCCCATGATTTCCCAGGCCATAGGGTGTGTTTCTATTGGTGGAGCTGCTTTCAGATATTTTCTCAGCTCTTTAGACACACTGAAATACCTTTGGTAAAAATTTCCCTTTTGCTTCGTGAGACTGTGGTATAATTAAATAGAAACTGCTGTTTCCTATTTTGTGACAGCTGAGGTGGCAGCACAACCTAAATGAATCCCATCTGGGGCACAGTTCACCCTTTCTGTGTGATCCTTTTCCTCTTGATGAAGACAAGACAGATTTTCCTGAGTGCCCATCAGCTCCTTGGATTTCCGTGGTCATCAACCTTGGAGGTTGGGGAATGGGAATTCTAGCTGGCTTTGTACATCTTTAAGTTGTCTTTGATAATACTTTATATTTTTTTTCAGTTTGAACGGTTTCATCACCTGTTTTGTTCTTTTTTCATGAGCAGGAGTGAGAGGACGAGCCTGATTTTTAACCCTCTGGGAAACACAGTGTTTATTGTCCCTAGGGGCTACACTAAGCATGAGACCCGCTCCCATCCCAATAGAAGAGCCAGAATGGAGACAGACGCCTCCCCCAGTCACAGCTACCTCTGGGACCTTCAGACTACGGCGAGGCAGTCGGTTCACGTGGAGAAAGGAGTGCCTGGCTGTTATGGAGAGGTACGTGCTGGCTCTCTGAGGGGGTTTGGAGATGGGAAAGCCAAGGCAAGGGTCCTTTTCCCTGCTCTGGTTTTCATGGATTTGTTGTAGCCTCGTGCAGGCCTGTAAGAATTGGATTTGTAATGGTGGAGTAGGAGGAGCTGTTTTGCCTCTTGTGTTGTTTAAAAAATTATAGCTCTGCTCCAGATCTCTTTATTTTTGTCAGTCATGTCCTTAGCTCAGTCTGAGTGTGTTGGTGTTCAGCTCTCTTTTGCTTTTGCAGAAACTTTTCAACTTATCCTGATCTGGGCTCTCTTGGGAGGGTCTTGCAAGCTCTTTCCATTCTACATTTTCTCCTTTCCACTTTCCTGACTTGTCTTCCTGATGCCTCGTGGTGTTTTAAAGTGGATACCGGCATTTCGGCAGCGCTGTAATTGTTTGGGATGCAGAACTTTGCCTAACAAGCCGTAGATTCCTGGTCCAAAAAGGCTCTTATAACCCTTTTACAGGAGCTGGGAGCAGCACAGAGCAAAGTGGATCTTTCAAATCCATATGCAGAGTGGCAGGTGATCATTTGAACTCTCAGCTCTCCTCTTTGAGCCCAGGCGTGCTTTGCCTTTCCTTCTGCTTACAGGAACATCTCTTTTGTGGGTAATGTTGTACAGTAGAAAAAGGCTGGGGAACTTGGATGTAGTTTAGGGATGAATGCTTATTTCTGTCCAGGGCTAAATGGCTGGGAGGAGTTTTCCCCCCTCTGAGGAGCCTCCTTTCCATGGAAGGACTGGATGACTGTGTGTGCTACCCTCCTCCTGGGTCTACAACCCCTGTGAGATCTCAGCCAGCAGATTTGTAGGATGTGATTTTACCATTTCTTTAATGCTTCCCTTTCCTCTTGGTTGCATGGGGGTCTTGGGAACTGATTAGGAGCAGGAGATCATCTTTTGCCTGAGCTAAGACTGAAATCCTGGGCTCCCTCAGGAGCAGAGGCTGGACACACTTCTGTGACTTTGCAGCACTGGAACCAGTAACTTAAATGTTTGTTTCCCTGTTCTGGCCTGGCACTGATATTTTATCTGGCATTGATATTTTTGGCTTTGCCTGAATATTTCCCCAAAGGAAATAACGTAAATGTTTTAAATCTGTTCTGCCTTTTTAGGCCCAACTAATGCAAAGACCTGTGATCTGATAGTGTGTTTTTTCTAGTGTCCCCCTCCGCAGAGGCAGAGCAAAGGGGCAGGACAGGATCTTTAGCACTTTGAAATGTTTGTCTGACTGTCCTGATTGTGTGTGCAGGACAGAACCACCACAGCTGTCTGTGCCTTCAGGGCAGCACCCATCTCCTGATCAACCCTCTGTGTGTGAAATGCTTATTGGGAGTAGAATCAGAGCTCTTCGGGCATAGCTGGTTTTGGGCATGGCTGTTTTTCTTCCTGGTTTCTGTCTGGCCCAAAGTGCAGTAACTGCTGTTATTTGCTGTTTGAGCCCTGATTGTGCCTCAGAGTTCTTTGCTGGGAAAACTGCTGATAGAGAGCTGAGCAAGCCACCCTTTCCTCATCCACCTCGCTCCTCAAGCCAGTCTCTGCTGGGACGCTCTAGAAATTAAAACGGTGGTGTTTTAGTACATCTGTTGGAAAGGTGTGTGCTTTGGATTTGGGAATTGAAAAAATCAAGTTGGTCTTGACACTGGAAATCATCTAGTTACGAATGCAGATACATAATGGCTGGATCTAATTTTTCATTAAATTCTTCTTCTTTGTTGTTTTTGGTTTTGTACTCTGTAAGGTCTTTGCTGTTGGGCTTTTCTCCTTATTCTGCTGCTGCCACATTGCCTTAATCCTGGCTTTTAATATTAATTTGCCAAGCCCTTGGCTGGGTCACTGTGGGTGCTGGGTTTCACAGCCTTGTGTGGGATACTGGGAAGCAAAGCTGAGGAGTTTTACTCGAGGCAGGAACACAGTAAAAGTGCTGTGTGACAATAAAGCTACACCATAAAGCAATGGGAATATGGTTGTTTAACTGTTGTGCTTTAAAAGGCCTCGTTGAGCTGTAAGGATGAGCTGTTTTATGTGTCAAGTTTTGAAAGAGTGGGAGAAAAATGCTCTTCTGGGAGCCCTTGGAAAAAAAGTCACTAATTTCACTTACAGGTCACTGGAGTTTTGCAGGCTTGGCCATGATATAATTCATAACAGCAGCAGCATGAAGGTAACCAGACCCCTCTGGCCCAAGCAGATCAGGTTCCCTTGATGGCCCAGGGTCATGAATAAGCACTTGGCCACTAAAATGGTGTTTGGCATTGCCTGTGGGCTGGTGGTGCCATTTGTCTGGTAATTTGCATTTTCCTCTGCAGGATTAAGTTTTGACTCTGAGTGGAGGCATCTCAGTTTAATGGACTGTTTTCCCTAATGAAATGCAACTTTGAGTGCACTGTGTTTGTGTGTCCTGCAGCTTCTGGCTCTGATGCTGGTGCACACAAGGATTTAGGCACCTGGTTTTGGAGCTGCTGCTCTGGGAACCTCAGGAAAGTGCTCGTTCATTTGGGCTGATCCCTGTCCAGGAGGGAGAAACAGAGATCCGGGAGACAATTCCATCCCATTAATGCACTCAGAGGAGGGCTCTGTGCACCTTCCTCTCCAGCTGCCTCCTGCAATTAGAACTAACTTTGATGGTTTAGTTTAATGCCTGAAGATAAGAGGGTGGAATCCAGGGCTTAGTGGAATCTCTGCAAAACTCCTCCTTCTCTCTGAAATGCTTCTGTGATGCCGTATAAACATTTTTTGGCTGGGGATGAGGGTGTTGACCTGTTCCATCACTGAATTGTGCCCCGTGCTCTTGCTTTTGCCTTGGATTCAGTTGGTAAAAGTTGGAGTTGCTAAAAGTCTCATGTGTCAGACCAGCTGAGAGCACTTCAAGGGAAGAATCTGAATGTGATTGCAAAATTTTGAGGGATTTGTTTCTTAGGAGCAGGCTCTCCAATTGAAAATGCACAGCACCGGTCAGGATTGGATCCATGAACTGAGTGAGAAGGGTGAGGGTTGAAGGGGTAGTTTCTCTTTTTTTTTTCAAAAGCTTTAAATCAACAAAAAAAATCCAGTTCAATTAATTATTATATTGGTGCCAACCTGACAGAATGAAGATTAGAGTTAGGGCCTTATCCTGAAATGTCTGATGTACCTGAGGGTCTGAGTACAGGGTATGTGTATTAAAGGAACTAATTGGTTTATACTGGATTTCCAGGATGCTGCTTGTGGTTTCTGTAATTCAATTCTCCAGCCTTTACTGCTTTTTTGGAATCCTCCCAGGTTAGTTTTTTAATCCCTGGTCTTAGATTTTTTTGGACAATAAATTCGGGTCTCTTTATCCCTTTACTTTTTATTTTTCTGTAGATATCTCCCTGAATATTTATGCTCTGAAGGTTAAGAGGAGCAGTGGTTCCAGAAAGTAAAGTTCTATATTTAACTGCAGACTAGGTGTGGTTCAGACAACTGCAGTGCTACTGATGCCAACCTTGACCTGTTCTCTTGTGGAGCCTCCTGCTCATGGAATATGCTGAGTTTTGAGTGTGTCGATGTTGTTGTGTGGCTTTGCTCTCCTTTGGGAGCAGAGCTAAGACTGCAAGAGTCCTTTCTGTGCAAACCCGAGGTTAAACTTGAAAGCCTCTTTCTGGTTCACTTTCGTGTTCTTTTTTTGTTACGTCTTGTCCCACAGATAATGTTGTGTTTCTTTTTTCCTCTTTTCTCTGCTTTGCTTCTTCTTTTCAACCCCTCTCATTAGAAGTATGAAATTGAAAATTCCCTTAGGGCTTTCTGTTTTTTTAATGAAGATGTGTTGTCTTGTCGGTCTATTTTTTTATTATTTTTTTTTCTCCCCCAGTGATTTATGCTTCTCTCCTAATCATATGTTGGAGTAGAGTTTTACCTTCTTTTTCAGACAAAAAAATAACTAAGATTGGCAGCAGAATCAGTGATTTTATACCCTTTTTTAAGGCACTTTTCATGAGTGCTGTTAAAGACTGAGGGGGGGAGTTGAGTGTTGTTTTTTAAGTATATGCTTTATCCAAAGATTAAATTAAAATAACTGTAAATTCTGCCCTAAACAAAAATGAATAATTCATCAGTTGAACGTATTTCAGTTTCTCTAGGGAGCAGGGACTTTGCTTTCTGGTTGAGGGTTATTCGGTTTGATTTTATGGCTCTGGGTTTTTATTTTAACACTTGTCTGTGCTTCTGAAGCTCCTTTTGTAAAGGTGTATTTAGATTAAATAAGACTGAGATGCTGTAGATCCCCATCACCCCCATTTCATAGGTGGCAAAACAGTCAGGTGCTTCACTTGGCTTTATTCAGAAGAGAAATGGGTTTAGATTTCCCAAGATAGGGGGGTACAGTTTCGTGCTGTAGCTGAGCTGAATTAACAGTTTGTCACCAGCTCATCCTTAGGTGTTACCCTGCCTCTCCACCCTTCTCAATTCCTCCTCCTCGGTTTCCCTGCTCCTGCCAGCCTGTGCTGTGCCAGAGATGTTTCTTGTCCGATGGAAATAGCAGCCAATTCAGCCTGCTTCAGGAAAAAGAAATCCTTTTTATTTCCCCCTGCATTTTCCTGAATTGTTTTGGCTTGCTGTGCCAGGGCTGTGCTGGGGCAAAGGACAGGAATGCACAGCTGGGAGCACCAGGAACGGGAAGTTTAACAAAAAGATGATGATTCCGTGGAGTTGTTTGGTCTGCTTGGTTTTGTTCTGATTTTGTCTGGTTTGAGTTGGAGGAGTTCCTGGTTTATTTAGAGGCATGGTTATACTGGCATCGTGGAAGAGGAGTCCTTTGATTTTTCCAGGGTACAGGAAAGCATTAGGTCCATGAGGATTAGAGGGATGGAGCACCTTTCCTCTGAGAGAATTCAGGCTTTCCAGCCTGGAGAAGAGAAGGATCCAGGGAGAGCTCAGAGCCCAAAGGGGCTCCAGGAGAGCTGGAGAGGGACTGGGGACAAGGGATGGAGGGACAGGACACAGGGAATGGCTTCCCACTGCCAG